AGTCCCAGTAAGATCAGGGTTTCACTTTTTGACAAAAGAAGTACATTCTATTCCTTTGAAATTAGCTTTAGGACTTAGGGGGTATTAATAAGATTATTTAAATGAGTTTCTAGCTTAAAAAATAATAAATCAATCAGAAGTTTTATAGTAGTGTCTTAAGGACTTTTACTTTCTTCTAGGAAGGGATTCATTGTTTCTTCATCATACCATTCTGTTTCATTCCTTACCTTCAGTAGAGGCCACAATATAGGCAATGATACCTGACCAGGTTCAGTGTCTCACTACCTAAGGAGTTCTAGCAAAACCATGAACTTTCTTGATAATCTTTTTTAGAGGGAAGACATATGCAAAGCAGGACAACACAGGAGCTTCTGAAATCCCCTGCAATTGTATCCATCCATAGCAAAACACATGGGTTAGGGCCAATCATTGAATGGCACACGCCAGAAATAAAACCTGTTGATACAATTGACAATTGATACAATATGACCAGCCTGTGCTTCAGCTAAGAGGAAACTGAACACTGTAGTATTATCAAAGGACAATGTTTGCATGGACCCACTTCTGCTTCTCTAATATGAGCACAAGTCATCTGGGCATCTTGGTAGATGGCAAATTGTGACTTGTTAAGGTTGGGTTAACAATTGTCTGTGTTGTTGGCCCAGGTACTACATCTTATAGAGGGATATTTCAATTAATTCATTTCTTTATCCAGTTGTCTCTGTGACTTGTTTCTTTTAGATACTTGCTTAAATATCTCATTAACACAGCTTTCCATAATCAGCAAACACTTCCCTGTCACTCTCAACTCTACTTTGTATTTCTTTATGCTGCTTATCACTGTATGATAGATAAGGAAGACTTCTTTGTCTCACTGCTTTGTCATTTCCCTGGGACATGGAAGTGTGGGAAGAGTTCAGAAAAAAAAAAAAAAAAAAAAAAAAAAAAGAAAAGATTATCAATAGACTGAATCTGTACGTGAAACCATGGCCAGTCTCAATTTCATGCCACAAGTCTTTGGGCTTTTAATTTTAGGATTTTCAAGTAACCTATTGAAGAAAATAGGGTGGAGGCCCTGCCTTATTTCCTCTACCCTTTGGACTGCACACTGAAGGAGACTGGTGGTGTATAGGGTGATGTAGATAAAGGGGACCACACTCATTTTAAGCAGAACTTTCTAGCACAGAACTCACCAAAGAAGACATTTATTGCTGCATTATAATAACTATAATTATTTGAAAATTTGTGCTAAGCCCTGTAAAAGTGTAACAGTTGTTATTTTGCAACATACATTCCTTCAGTAAATTTTTCATCTTTGAAAGAAAAGTGAAAAGTCCAAGTAAATAAAAAGGAAGATTCCCTCTGATCCCCAATATCTTTGAGTGGAAACACAAATATTGAGGTTCATAAATCTGTCACCCACTCGTTTAGCGAGTTTTGAAGAAATGTCTATTGTAGCAGCAGGGAGACTTATCAGCGAGCAGATAATGCTTGCTTGCAAGGAACCAAGCTCAGCAAAATATTCTTTTCCCTTTCTTTCTAAAATACAAATCTCACCCATTTTTCAAGGTGTAGCTCCATCCCCACATTTCTACAATATATGCTATTCCTGTATTGTGGACCCTGTGGGCTTATCCTTTCTGTGGCATTCATACATAATTCTTAGAGATAGGGCTATTCCCATAGTGTTGCTCATATTCATTTGGAACTGGTTTTCCTTATGAATAGTAAAGTTATTTCTATTTAGAAAGATGAAAAATTACTTGCAAATGAACAGCATGCAATGTATTTGAGGTAAAAGACAAAATTTCTAAATATCTAGGCATGTTGAACAAAGCTTTCAGTGGCTTCTTCCCCATGAAGTAACTTGAAAGTGACAGAAAATGTATTTACTAGAAGTCTAGTGCTTTAGTTTTGTCTCTCTTTCTGTGTGTGTGTGCGTGTGTATGTGTGCATGTGTGTGTGATACATGTGTGTATGTATGGGTATGAGTGCAGGTATGCACATGCAATGCGTGTAGTAGAGGTCAGAGGATAATTCCAGATCCTCAGACCCAAGTTCTACTTTGTTTGAGACAGAATCTCTTGTTTGCAAGTGTATACACCAGGCCTGCCTGTGAACTTCTGGGAATTATTTCTCCATTTCCCATCTTGTAGGCATGCTGGAATTACAGATGTATACTACCAGGCCTGGGTTTACTAAATTCTGGAGATTCAGTTCAAGTCCTCAGGCTTTTGAGGCAAAAAGCTCTATATCCAATGATCTCTTTAGCCTAGAAGTCTAGTCTTTGACCACTCCAAAAGAAATGTAGTAAGCCAGGTGGTGGTGGCACATACTTTCAATCCCAGCAGACAGATCTCTGTGGGTGGTCAACAGAGTGAGTTCTAGGACAGTCAGGGCTACCCAAAGAAACCCTGTCTCTAAAATCCAAAACTAGAAAGGAAGAAGAAAAAAAAAAAAAAAAAGAAGAAGAAGAAAAGAAAAAGAAACATAATAAAATTTCAGCATCATCACAAAGATTACAAAACTGACAGAAATGAGAGGTCTGATAAGAATTATCAAATGAGTCTGGTGGTGGGGCACATGCCTTTAATCCCAGCATTTGTGAGGCAGAGGCAGATGGGCAGATGGATCTCTGTGTGTTTGAGGCTGCTAGCCTGGTCTACAGAGCAAGTTTCAGGACAGACTCCAAAGCTACACAAAGAAACCCTGTCTCAGAAAAAAAAAAAAAAAAAAAAAAAAAGAAAGAAAGAAAGAAAGAAAAAGAAAAGAAAAAAAGGCAAAAGGAAATCTTATAGTATTCATAGCATACTCTTCAATTCACTTGTTAATTTAAAAGTAAATTGTCAGTCATTTCCTTAAGCTGTTTTGCAATTTAAATGTCCTCTAACAACCAAAACAAAAATTCAATCAATCTTTTATTCCAAATAATAGTTCACTTAAGGCTTGACTACCCAAAAAGTTTACAAAAGGGAGAATAAAACTGATTGCTTCCTATTGCTACTATCTAATTTCCATCTGATAAAAAACTGTGACACATTAGACCTTGTTAAAACAGGGATGTCATCCTGTGACTCCATTCTGTGTATTGAAGCTGTGAAAGATGCTTGTTATTTGCAGGTTGCACTATGATCATCAATTGGTGTGACTTGTAAGACATGCTTTTCATGGGCATCTTGATGAAGTGGAGTCTATTATCCCACTGGAGTATAGCCCTCGAAGGACAGCTGGAAGCATGGAGATTTATACGGATGGAACTAGAACATGATTGCTTCAGTGTGACCTTTGGAGTTTGCAGTCATCTAGGTCAAGGTTACACTGGCGCAACGAATAAGTTTTCTGGTAGTAAAACCAGGGTTCTAACCATCTTATTAGTCTGTAGAATTATCTGAGGTGACATTTTTCAGAAACAGAAAAATAACCACGGACTTTATTCCGCATATTGAAGTATGGTGAAGGGCTTAGAGTTCAAGAATGAAAGGAAACCTCTTTGAAAACAAGGAAGATAATATGAAGTAGTTCTCACCACGAATGATAAAGAATCTATTTAATTATTCTAACTCAGTTTCTTTTCCATTTTCTGTTTTATAATAGGTAGTTTTGGAACACTCACTCCTGTCTGGGGGGAAAATGCATCAATATTTTAGAAGCACAAAGACTTCCTAGCAGGCTCGAGGAAGAGTGTGCTCATCATGCATCAAACCTTTGACCACTATGCATTCTCTTTGTCATGGACACATAACACAGGCTGATAGGACAATACATTCATTAAAATGTTTTGTTTAACTTACTTGCAAATACTGATCCTACAGTCAGGCACAAACCAAGCCAATATGCTAATATACACATGAAAGGAAATATTTTATTTATTCTTTTGTAGAACATGCTGTTCTACAAATCATGATAAGTCCTAGGCTGCCATAGGCAGGACCCAAACTTTAACCTTCCACAGGACACGCAGTGAAATGTAGTTAATGCAGAATCATCTGAAAAGGACAAAAGAGTTCTTTATACCCAGCACACAGGAGCTTTTCTTTCACAACATGTACTTTCATCCTCAGCAGTTGTATACTTTCCTTTTCTTGCCAACTAACCTGCATTTCATGAAGGTGGAAGCCATATTCCTCTTTTTATGACACAAGATGTAACCTCATGGTGTTGTATTTATGTTTCATAAGCAAAGGATCCTTACACACACACACACACACACACACACACACACACACACCTTCACAACCCAGTTGTATTTCTAAGAATCAATCTAATCAGAGAAACAGATGTTTAAATAGTTAATCCCATTTGGGATATGTCACCAATATTCAGTTGGCCAAGCCAACTGGTAACCATGGCAACTGTTCAAAGTACCTGCCCATTTTTTTCCAGTTATTGATTCCAGAGAAATGTATAGCTGAGAAGTGGGTGGAACATCTAAAGACATATTAGCATTAATGAGAATTAAGGTATTGCCTTGAACACAAACATAGTCTACTTAACATAACTTTTTTTTTTCTTTTTTTTCTTTTTTCTTTTTGTTTTTCGAGACAGGATTTCTCTGTATTGCTTTGGAGCCTGTTCTGGAACTTGCTCTGTAGATCAGGCTGGCCTCAAACTCACAGAGATCCACCTGCCTCTGCCTCCCAAGTGCTGGGATTAAAGGCTTGTGCCACCAATGCCAGGCCAACACATCTATTTTTAGAGGAGAATTTGCTTTTCCAGAATCCACTGGTGACTAGATAAGATGATAAATGTAATAAAGATGGCACTGGCTTTGGAGTATTTGAGGAGTTCATTTGTTCCTATGAGCTTTTCTAATTGCTCAAGATTCCCCTGGAAGATTAGGAGTAACAATTTTGTGAGATTTAGGGGACATTAATCATTAAGTTTTCATCCTAAGTAGTTTAATAGAAGCATTACTGATCTTGATCAACATTAGCACTATCAATCAGTAATGCAGCCACGAAGAGCCATTTTGGAACATCCAAAGCATGAGTTTGACTGACCTTCAGGTTGATATTGTGCTATGATTGTCACCGTCTGCCCAGCCCCCTTCAGTGCTGCAGCTGCCTGCTCATGAGAGGCTCCACGGAGATCGATGCCATTCACCTAGAAGACAGACCAGAGCTTTAGGCACAATATCTGTACTCTGATGGATTGAATACAGATAGAAGAAAAGGCTTCAATATTAATAAGCTATCTAAAATTATGCCATGTCCCTCAAAGAAATCTTTCATTTCTTATTAAGATGTTTCTTAGTTCAACAAGTTTCATAGCCATGATTACTTTTAGAAAGCAGGGCCATGAAATTTCATCTTGTGTTTGTGCCACAGCCTGGATATGGTGGAAATATTTTGTCTATCCCTGTCCACAAGGGTTTTAGTGTGCACATTACTATTTTCCCATGGGTTTCCCAAATTTCTGGGGCAGATTGGCTTTAAAATTAGAGGGGAGAGATGATAATGAAGAGAGACACATGTAATGCCCACAGACAAGTATGTGCTGACAGATTCATATATTCAGACGACGTTCTGGGGAGACTGTATGGAATGGGGTTGGCTAGCTGCCAGATCCCTCTCTTTGGGTAAGTGCCTAGTCCTGTCACATGGAGCTTGGTGAGACAGCCCTGAGCCCTGTTCCAAAATAAACCTGAATGCCCCATTTCTCATGCACAATTCCATAATGAATTCTGACAAAATGAAATAAAGAGTGCTGGAGTTTATTTTGCTGTCACTAACTCCCATTTTGGAGGCTGTACTAGAAGAGAAGCAGAGCATCTCTAAAACAAGCCTGGGACTCTGCCAGGAAAAATAAAATCATCAGCAAGGCAAAGTTAATGAGACGCAAAGGCTCCAGTCTTCCTCCAGTCAATAAAGTCAATAAGTCATTGGGATGTGATTGCCCAGGGTTCTGTGTCTCTCTGGGAAAAGGGACAGTGGGCGAGTCTCAAAGGAATGCAAGCAGCTTTACTGGAGGAAGTGAAAACACACTGAGTCTGGTTTTCTAAACAACACAGATGGCATCCTCACTCTGTCTCTTTTCGTACACAGCGCAGGATGCTACATTCAAAGTTGATCAGCTTATCTACATGTTCAATACATTGTCTTGTTTTGGCTTTGGGCAATCTTCTCTAATAGAGATTCTGAGTAGTTAAATGAAGGCATGGTTACCACTTCATTTCCCTAGCTGGCTTGGCTCATCTGAAGTCTTCAACTTTATATCATTGTTCCTTCCTAATAATTTCATTAAAGTCTCCCCATTGACTTCTCCAGTTTCTTTTGCCTTTCCTGTGACTTTCTATCCTAGTGAACCTTCGCCTGCAAGCATTGAGTATGTATTTGTTTTGGGAAGTTCACTGTGCTAGACCTGGCACACTGTGGCAAGCATTAGATGAATGGCAGTCAGTCATATTATGCTCCTGAACCTGTTTTCTTTCACTTAAGAAGGAAGGAATGGTTAGACTACCGGGGTCGAAAGCCCCTCTGGTGGTAGGATCACATGCTTGCATACTTGGTCCCCAGCTGGTAACAGTGTTGGGGGAGATCATGGAATTTTAGGAGGTACAGCCTTGGAAGAAGTACATCATTAGAGACATATCATTAAAGATAGGCTTGGAGGGTCTATAGCCTCATCATATACCTCCTGCTCCCTGCTTCCTCTGTGCCATTGAAATGTGATCCCTCAGCTTCTTGTTCAAGTCAACTGCCATGCCTCCCCTGCCATTAGGGACCTTCCCTCTGGAATCATAAGCCAAAATAAACTTTTCCCATATAAGTTGCTTCAGGACAAGATATTTTATCACAGGAAGAGGAAAGTAACTAACAGCCTCCCCTTGCCCCCGAACTGAGAAATTCCAAAGCTACTCTAGAGTAGAGAGTAGTTATTTTTGACACGCCTGAGGATGTTAATGGGCCAGAAGAAGGATCCTGGTGGTCAGAAGGATCATCAAAGGCAGATTTATCTAGATTTTTGTTCAAAGCAAGTACAACTATACAGGTATCAGGTGCCAAATAATTTTAAATAGTGTCTTCTCATGTAAAACAATTAACTTGTTAAAAATGGACATTACCAATGTGAAATTTCCAAAACTTACAGAAAGGAAAATGAAAGTGAACTTGCACCATTTTAACTTCTCTTGGTGGTCTCCTTTGTGTCTATTGCTCTGGAATTCATTTACATGAAGTATGTGGCTATATCTAAATTTCTGTTCTTACTATATAAATATTTTATTATTGTCTTTTGACCAATAAATTAAGTATCATGTATAAATATACAACTTGGTTTGGTTTAGGTTGTCAATTAATAATATATCTTGGACATCTTTCATACAGGTTTATGTCATCTGAGTTTTTAACTGGACACCTACACTCCTTGTTGTAAATGCTCTAGAATTTCTTAGTGAGATTCTTGATGATGTGATTAAAGTCAGTTCCATTTTCTTTGTAACACATTTATGAGTGTCTTCATGAGGGATACATTCCCTGGACATGGTCTTGGTAAGATAAAAGTATATGAATTTTAAAAATTAGTTATTGTACAATTAAACATTATTATTTTTCATTTAAATGATAAAAATAAAAACATAAAGGCAATAATTTCATTTATCAATAGCATGTTGATATAAAATTGGAAGTGATTCAGATGCATTAATACCCATGTATAAAAATTAAATCAGTATTTAAAAGAAAAGTACAAAGTAAATGTTTTCCTATTACCATCTCAAGAAGCAACTATCTTAGGGCTAGAAAGATGGATCTTGAAGAGAACCCAAGTTTGGTTCCCAGAATCAGGTGGCAGACTATCACCCATAACTCCAGCTCCAAGAGGTCCAATGGACACACCCACATAAATATAAATAAAAAATAAAAATAAAACTTAAAAATGTAGTACTTTTGATGACTTCCTGTGTATACTACTCATTATGTTGTCATGAATAGAAACCAGCTTATAAAATATAGGATTAACTATTTACTGTAAGTGAGGGCATGTTGTATACATTGTTTTATATCTCGATTTTACTCAGCAAGTTTTTCTGAGCTGTTTTGAGACAGGGTTTTTTTTTTTTTTTCCTGGAACTCACTACGTAGACCAGGCTGGCCTCAAACTCACAGAAATCCTCCTGCTTTTATCTCCCAAGTGCTGGGATTACAGGTATGTGTTAGCATAGCCAACCTCAGGGAGTTTTCTTACACATACACATTGATCTCATTCATCTTAATGCTATATATGGTTCTAGTACTTAGCATAGAACATTTTATGTTAATGGACACACTGATTATTTAATGCTTTGCTATGAAAAGCAATTCTATAATAAATAGCAACTAATGGTAAGCTGAGCAAAGGTAATTTTGATAGTCATTATCAAATTATCTCTAAACATGGGGCTTTAATTTATATCCCTATAAACTTCATAATTTTGTATTTTTTCTACTAATTAATTGCATATATTTCAACATTTGACTCTTTCCGTTTTGGTAAGTAAACAATTATATTTCTAATTAGATTCCTTCACTTATGCTAATTAGTTATTTTAACTTATTTTTACATAAAATGCCTGCTTTTTATATTTGCTGACTTTTTGTTTAGTTCTTTTTAAAAATTTATGTTCATGTTTAAAAATATCAGTATTCACCTTTAAAACGTATTTTATATTATTGAACATCATATTTTACATTATTATGTTGTCTCTTGTTATAGAGAATTGTAAAATATTTGTGTAGTCACATTTGTCATTTCTTTTTCAAAAAGCTTTAGTATATTTTGTTACTGTATTTCATTATCTCCAAGTCATCTAACAAATTTCCCAGGTTTTCTTATAGTGTAATCATAGCTTTAATTTGGTTATTTAATCTTTAGTCAGCTTGAATAAATTTTAGTATCTAGTATGGGATCAAGTGAGTGATCACTGTTCCTTAAACTCTTAAGAATCTGAGTCCCTAACCTTCAAATTGATGGTGTACAGTTGGCTGAAAGGTGAGTGAAGAAATAGGCATTATATTCTCAAGACATTATCCTAGGCAAATGATCATGTAATTGCTGTATGACATTAGCTTATCATTCAGGAAGGACTTCAAGATATCCAGGTAAACCCATTCCAATTTTGTCCAATTCCTGTGATAAAACAGAGTGCTTTGGTAGAGTCCTCCTGTTATTTTCCACTTGTTGGTTCCAGTTCAGCCTTCTGAGGGCTCAGAGAACAGTATCATTTCTTCTACATGATTTCCCAAATATTACAAATCTGTAGACTCTTCCAAATGAAACAACCCCACTCCCTCCTCCATATTTATAGAGTAGTCTTGCCATCTTACCACTGCTTCTTCATGAATAACAGGGACTTTTTCTGATCTGCCCATTCTAACTTGGGATATCCTTATAGATCATGATTTTAGCATCCTGATGCCATTTAATTCCTCATGAGAGGCTCAGCTAAGTGATTTGGGTCAAGGATTACAAGTGTGGTCACTCTGGGGATTAGCCTTCTGCATGTGCCTCGTGAGATTCCCATAATAGATGCTGGATACAGATGACTCTTTAAAAATGTCCATTTTAGTTATTTCCCTTTCTAGTTTAAGAGAAGAGCAACAGCTATTGTTAAACAATTTTCTGTTTAGTGGAGAACAATAACAGCTAACCATCTATTTTAAATTCAAGGAGAAGACAAGGGCATAATGTCCTGAGACACAGACGGTATGAGGAAAGATGAGGTAGTTTTCTGGAGGAAGTACCACTGATAAAATATCTGAATGAGTTATACAAATGAGGATGGATGGAAGGCAGTTTCCCTGAGAAGGATGCAGAGAATGCAGAAAGTGAAACAGGAAGAGAAATTGAAAGAGTAGTCAGCAGACGAGACATGGCTAAACGGGTGTAGTAAAGAGGGCCAGTGTAGGAAAAATAGCCACCTGGTCTAACCAAGCTACAGGTGCTCAGGCCAGCCTGCATGAGCATGCATGGCAGGCACTTCCTCCCTGAGCCAAGCCTGCCTCTACACCCAAAGACTGCTGATGAAGAGACACCTGACCCAGAGACACCAATGAGAAAAGGACAACACAGCAGAGTCAGCCGCCTGAGCCAATGGGACTATGGGAAGGTGTATAAAGGCAGGTCTA